TCCAATATCCAGCATTGTGTCCTGCGGGGCGCATGTGCCCCAGCACACAGCCACGGGCATCACTGCCCCAGGAAAGCGTGATTCTCAGGCTCACAAAGCTCACAAACCACAGTCAGGGCTCAGAGGAGAGGTCCAGACCCTTCACTGAGGAAGCAGAAGTTTTAGGTTTCTTGAACAAGAGGCAACCGAGGGGCACAAATGCACCAAGTGTGTGGATTGGGGGGCACAGGGGTATGGAGCTGTGAGCCAGTGGTGGCCCCCACCCAGCAGCCAGGCCTTTGGGAGCATCGCTGAGGAGCAGCAGAGGCCTCACCCTCTCTGCTTCTGAGCCCTGGCTTGCCTCCAAACCCCCTTGGGTGCTGGACACTCCTGGAGTTGTCCCATGAGGGTGCAGCCCCCCAAGCTCCTCAGCCTGCACCTTGAGCCCCCACAGTACGTAAGAGGGAAGGAAGCCCCCTCTGCTACTGCATCTGCGTCCCTCGGCCTTTGGCTTTAAAGAAAGGGTGGAGGGGAGTTTCTTCCTGTGCAGAGTGCTGGCCCCTGTGCAGGGGCCATGCCAGCCTTCAGCCTGGACTCCAGGTCCAGCCCTTCATGGTGGCACCTAATGCTGACATTGCAGTCAGCCCAGGCCAGCCTCGCTCCCAGCTCTGCTTCCAGAGGTGCCGGGAATCCTGATCCACCTAGCACCCTGAACCTCCACCCTCGCCCCGCCTGCTCATCTCTCCCAGCCCCGGCTGCATCCCAATGACCCCTGCCAGCCCATGACCCGGAGTGCGCACCTCAGCTGTCCCCAGGCATTCCTGGTGGCTCCAACTCCTCTGCCGCCTGCCAACACCTGCCACCTCCATTCCACATCGTGCTACTGACACAAAGCTCAGGTCTGCATGCGTGACATTTTCTCAAGATGGATTCATTTTGCTCATTTTTAGTTACCAATAAATGAATATAGTCTCAAAAAATTGAAATGTCCCAGATAAAGCAAAAGTTTCTTCAGTTCAGAGGTGCACTGGTTGGTGCACCCACCTGATCCCAATCTTTCCCTGCCCGATGCATGTCCTTCTTTAAAAATACACAGGTTCGTTTTTGTGTGTGTGCATACCCACCTACACATATACACACACACATACACACACACACATATGCACACACATACACATACACATATACACATACACACACATACATATGCACACACACATACACATATACACACTTGTACATACATAGATATACACATACACACGTATATACACACGTGTACACATACATATACACACACGTGTACATAGATATACACATACATATATGCACACACATGCACACACACCTATACACATGTATATGCATAGATATAAAGTACATGTATATATACACATACATGTATGTGCACACATATATATGTACGTTCAAATTATTATATGTGTATGTTTTCTTCTTTCATAAATGGTTGCCCTACACTTCCTTCTAGCCTTAATTATCTACCAGCCTGCAAGCCTGTGACTATATGAAAATAGTTGAAAAAGGATGAAAACCTAAAAATCATAACATCTAAGACAACGAAAAGGAGAAATACTTCAAGAAACTGAAGCGATTTCAAGAGATCTTTCTGGGGCTCAGCTTCTAAGGGAACAGCGCATGTCCTAGCTGGACCCCGGGCAGCAGCAGACCTCGAGGCAGCCACTGGCCGAGGCTGGACCGTGCTGTGGCCTGGGCCCTGGAGAGGGACGGGTTCTTTTCCACCTCCCAGTGCCAAAGCCTGGCTCCCTACTGGACCATCTGCCTCAGGGGCCCTCCTCTGCCCTCCACAGGACTCTGCTGCTGCTGGCAGGAGGGCGATGGCACCTACAGACCCTCAGGCCTCCCCCATCTGGGGCCAGCTCACAACTCCTGCACCTCCTTGCAATTGTCAGGTTCTCTGTGATGCGTCTGTTCCTTCTCAGTCAGGCTGCCTGGTCCTAACTGGGTACAGCCCTTGGCACAGCAGCCCCTCATCCCATCCCTCAAAGCCTCCTGTTTGCCCCCGACTGGGAGCCCTTGAAGGTGGACTCCCTCTTTCCGCCCTCCAGTTCTGGCACGTTCCATTTACACAACAACTTCACAAGTTCCCCCACAGGGCAAACTTCAGGCACGTCTTCCTCCCCGTCCACAGACACCACTCGTGTGCTCTAGAACCCTGACGTGTCTTTTTCACCAGGGTGGGCTTGATTCCCTGTCTCTGCACAAGCATTTTGAGTCCTGCTCTGCAGGTGGCATTTATAAGGTAGACAGGGAGAAGAAAGGCTCATCTTAAGGGAAAGCGTGACGAGCCCGCAGCCTCGCAGGGTGCACAGAACTGGTCATGAGCCTCTCCACCCCCTGGTGCAAGCATCTTCATTTGCTTTATGTGAAAGATGATACATCTCCATCCACCTAAGGTCTGTGACACTCCAACCCCTCCCAGCCTCCACAGAGGTGCTGGGTGAAGACATGACACCCATAGACACGTGGACCTGGCTTCTTTTCCTGCGGCTGCCACTAGCCAGATGGAGGGGTCTGAGCAGGCCCCTGACTGCCTCCAGCCCTCAGTTTACTTCCACAGGTTGTCGTTCTGCAAGCCCATGAGCGGCGGAACTTGGGGTGGTGCCCACACTCTGCAAAACTTCCCAGCAGATGTCTGAACCCCACTGGAAAGCTCCTCGAATGCCTTCACTGGCTGCAAAACTATGTGGGAAATACTAGAATCAGTGAAGTGGCTAACTTAGTCCTGGGAGCAGGGACACAAAGAGGGACGTAGCTCGGCAGTGTAGAGGTGATCGGCCTTGCCTGGGGACTGCTTGAGGTTTAAGCTCAAAACCGCAGGTGTGGACACGTCGCTACTTGGCCAAAGTGGGTCCAACAAAGTGGCTGGTGCCCCGTCTGCCTGATCAGATTAATCTGGCTTCCAGATTAATAGCATATCCTATTTGCTTATTCACTGAATTACTGATCCTTATTGGAAGGATCTCCTGGGGGTCCTAGAACCTCTGCCACCATCGTGCTCCTGAACTGGTCTGCAGGGCTAGCTAACCTTCGGCTGCTTATGACGTACACTTCTCCAGCTTCCCCAAACCCAGTGCCTCACAGGGAGTCCAGACTGAGGGGTGCTATGATCAGACTCTGCCTGGATCCTCCCCCTCCCTGGTATCCGCCTGTGTGTCCTTCCAGACCTCCCAGACCCCATATCTTGTCTGTTTCTTTCTGCCTCTGGAGACGTCTCTGATCCTAACAGGCTGACCACCCCACACCCCCAAGTTGTCCACATCCCTAACCAGTGACTTGTATTATAGGGCCTGGCCTTTTCTATACAACCTATGTACTAGTTCAGATAGTATCCCCCCAAATTTATCTCTTTCCCAGAACCTTAGAATGGGAACTTTTGGGGAGGCAGGGCAGTTGCAGATGTAATTAAGTTGAGAAGAGGTCATACTGGAGCAGGGTGGATGCTTAATCCCCTGTAATCTCCTTACAAGAGGAGGAGAGAACACCAGGCGGTGATGGAGGCAGAGACTGGAGGGATGCGTCTACAAGCCAGGGAACACCCAGGATTGCCAGCGACACCAGAAGCTGGAGAAAGGCACGGAGCAGATTGTCCCCATCACCTTCAGAGGGAGCGTGGCCCTGCCCACACCTGGACCTTGGACTTCTGGCCTCCAGAACAATGAGAGAGCACATTTCTGTTGTATTATTCCACCCAGTTGTGGTGCTTTGTTTTGGCAACCCCAGGAAGCAAACACCTAGTTCTGTTGTAACCAACACAGGCATGACACCTCCTGTTAGGAGACAGGCCCCCCATGCAGGTCTGGTCGGCAGTTCCCACCGCTCATGCAGTGGTGCCCAGTGAAATTTTTGAGAACTTCAGGATGCTGTCAAGGAACCCGGGGATGCTCTCTAGAGCATTACAACATCAGTGCTAGAACATTCTGTTCCCTATCGGGCTTTGCAAATGGAATTCCCAATGACTTTCCCTGGGAACGTCTGCTGTGAGGACCACTCGGTCATACCTGCAATGTCTCAATCATATGATGTTTGTCATTAGGTTCGTGAACAGGCAGAAGAGCAGTCATTCCAGGGAGATGATTTTAGGGGTACCAGAAACAATACTGCCCCCCATAAAAAAGTAAAGGAAAACTCCCTTCCCTATCCTTTCCCTATAAGTCAAGAGACTGAAATCCCACTCCTGCTGTGGCCTGGCCTTGCAGATCAAGAATCACTCCAACGTGCGGGTCTTTTTGAGTGCAAGTGCAACCAGGAGAGAGAGGAATACCACCCCAGACCTCTAACGCTCAAGGGCGAGTCTGCCTTCCACATCACTGTCTTCCCTAATGCAACGTTCTAAGTCAGCAGGAAGGATTGAGAGTAGACACAGGAAAGGAGAAATAAACTCCATGTACTTTACAGTTTGCTGTGTATATTTCATATTATGATCCATGGTGCTCAAGCGAGAATACTTTATCCTCAAATCACCAGTCCTCGGGCGCCTAAGGGACTTTCTTAAACACACATATTTCCTTCCTGTTCCTGCAGCAAATTCATCCCAGCTTCCGTTCCCTGCTGCCCAGAGGCCAAAACAGAGAAAGTCAGGATCTGCCAGAAACAGGTGCCGTCAAATCCCCCAAATACCAAACCACAGGGTGATTATCAGTAAGACCAAGCAAAGTCTGGCCATCTGGCCAGGGTATGGGCCTACCCTTGGCTCCAAGCCGGCACTGGAGGCAAATGTCTCCTTTGGTTGTCCTCACGAGTCGTTCCGTTAGTGTCGGGATGTTTACAGTTAACCCCCCAGACCATGCCATACGGAAGGATTCGGCTCTGATAGATTAGTGTAGGAAGAAAGTGACAGGGGGAAACATGTTCTGGAGAGAGGTTTCTTCTTGGGGACAGACACAGCCACCCGGCAGCGCTGGTGCCACTGCATCAGGGTGGCATAGATTAGGTCCCCAGCAGCCCGGCACCCACCTGAAACAATAGCATCAATGTCTTACTTTTTCTGGAGCGGGAGAAAAACCTGATGCCCCCGGGCGAGGTAGACGGGTTGGAGTTGGGGGAAGACTCTTTGGACGAGGAGCGGAAGATCCCGCTGAAGCTCATGCGGCGCGGCGAGCGCGGAGGGGACTCCTGGTAGGGGAACGGGAACACAGTTTTGGGAGAGCTGGGGCTGGTCTTGGGCCTCACAGGAGCAGACACGGGGCTGGAGGGCCGGGCCTGGGGGCCTCTGGAGAAGAGCCCTTTGGAGGGGCTGCCTGAGCTGGAGGGGCTGTCCACCTACGGAAAGACAGACAAATGGATGAGGTCACTCTGAGCTGTGGACTCTCCGGCCCCCACCCTGTACTGGCCCTGTCATTATTGTCCCCTCTCACCTAGCTGCCCGAGAAACAGCCCTAAGCTCTTCTACAGAGGTGGCTGCCAAAGGGTCTGGAGGTAAGTACCTGACCTGCGGACGGCCCACCCACAGGCTGGTCAGTGCCACGTCCCGGAGGCCCGCTGGCCACCCTGTCCAGCTCTCTAGAAGGGGCTTCCAGGAGGTGGGAGGGAGGAAGGGAGGAAGGTCATGGAGATGGCTCGAAATGATGCACCTTCCTCCTTCAACACATGTGTCCTTCTCAAGGACTGACTCCAGGGGGACATGGTTCCCTTGCCCCCGCCAAGGAGGAAGCACAGATCCCCAGGATCCAGAACAGAGCGGGCTGGAGGCTGCAGCCCGAGGGGCCCTGGAGCTAGGAGAGGGGGTGTCTTCCACCTCCGAGCTGCTTTGGCATGTGAATGACTGACATTGCAGGTCAGAGGTCAGGGAGAAAGTTAACAAGACCAAAAATGTTTGAGGTTCACTTCATTGATGATTTAAAATTGCATTATTGTTTGAAAACTTTCTAAACTCCATAACTTTAAGCCGAGGCACACGACTCACAGGCTTGAGGAACATCTGATGTGCCCTATAAGCCCCTGCTCCTGCTGTGTGGGTTTAGGAGCTCATGACCCCCTGGGCATGGTGCTTAGTCTCGCTAAGCCTCTGTTTCCTCATCTGTAAAACGAGGGTAGACGTTCCCTCACCTTGCAGGGCTGTTTGGATGTCAAGCGAGAGCCCACCTGTGGACATCAGCATGGCCCCTAATGAACAGTGGTCACACGATGTAGGTTAAACTGTGGCATCCTGTTACCTAGACAACTTGCCACACAACCGCCTAAAGGACTGCAAGGACCGCCCAGTTCCACAGCAAGAAACAAAGGTAACCTGTCCACAGGGCTCACCGGGGTGAGAATGAGGCCAGACCAGGAATCTCCCAGCACTCTGAACCCCATGACTGGGGGCGTGCTGAGAAGTAGGTGCAGGCATCGCTCAGAGGCCGTCTCTGTCCCACTACAGGAAGGCTGTCCTGACCAGCCCCGTGTAAGTTCTTCCACCACTAGAGGGCGCCCCGAACTCTGGGCTTGTGGGTCCTTAAGGGATCTGGTGCTGGTAGGTCACCGCCTTCAGTGACCATCAACCAGCAGCGTCCAACCTCCAGCTGGGGGATCCCACCCAGCCCTAAAGATCCAGCATCACCACACGGAGGTGCCGGGACCAACGGGGCGCCAACACCTTTGCAAGGGCTCCTGGGGCAGAAGAGCATGGCCTCAAGCTCGCTGCATGATAAAGTTCAAGTTTTTCTCTTTTTTGACCATTTAATATGAAAAGCATTTAGATTCTCTGTCTATAGAGTATTTGGTTTAGCCACTGTCCCACCTACCTATGGGACTCAGGGTAAGTCCTGAAGATAAATTTTAAAACAAGAGGGTCTTCTAGTGGTGGTGAGGGGTATGTGTGGGTGTGGGGTGAGGAGTTGGGGTGAGAGGAGCCTTATCCTCGGTGGGAACATCAGGAACAGGGACAAGAGTGACCCCCCACAAGGTGATACGGCGAGTAAGGACTCTGAACACATGCCTGAGTTTGAATCCTGGCTCAGTGTCTAGCAGTGTGGACAAGTGACTTGAGCTCTCTAAACTTCCGTTTGCTCGTCTATAAAATGGGGGTGCTGGGCTGACGGCCACAGGGCTGTGGGATGACGAGCCGCATACGGGCGCGGTGTTCAGCCCCGTCCCTGGCTCACCCTCAGTGCGTGACTCCCTCTGATGAGCTCGCCTCCTGGTGCATTGGGTCCTAATGCATCCTTGGTGCCTGGGGAATGTCAGGTGGGCAGAAGGACTTCGAGGCCACAAGTCTGGGTTAGGGAAAGACACTGCGTATGCTGAGGGGCCTCCCCTTCTCTGAGGGGAAACCGCAGGGGCTCATAAGCAGGGGGATGGCACAGTCAGATTTGCTTAGGGTCCGCCGTTCTGGTAGCCCCCCACATCCCTCTGTGCAAGGAGCTCGTGGGGCCCGGCTGGCCAGACTGAAGTGCCAGGAGCATGGTGCAGGGGGAGAAAGTGTCCAGAGGTGCACAGCTGCCCCTCACGAGAGAAGGCCCCGGAAGATAGGTGGGCCTTGGGTGGGCCCATGGACCGGGCTGAGGAAGTATTCAGGAGCCCAGGGGAGAGGAGCTGGAGCTGGGAGCACAGGGAGGGGGCCGCTCGCGTGGGCTACCACGGAGGGTGTGGGGGAGGCTGAGCCATATACACCAGAAAACCAGTCACGCAGGGGCCTGAATGCCATATCAGCCTTATTTGATGGGCAGGGGGACCCCAGGATTCTATTGATGGGATTCCATACTGAATTCAGAATGCCAGGACAACCACGCCAGGCATGAGAGGGGAGCCCCAGGAAGCAGACCTTCCATTCATGTCCCCCCAAATGGCCAGAGAACAGTGGATGCCAGGCCCAGGTCAGCCTCTGCCACAGGGAACCGGACCACACTCCCTGATAGTAGGAAAGTGAGATGGAGGGAGGTCGCGGTGGACGTCCCAGGTCAGGTGCACGTCCTGGGTGGGGTGGGGGCAGATGATGGGCGCCGGCTGGAGCCGCCAGGGACAGGCCTGAGCTCTTGCCATTAGGCAAGCCACAGCCAAATGATACTTTGATGAACATAATCGTCTGATGCCCTGGGTGTGGAGGAGACTCCCAGGAGTGGACTTGGCTCCACAGAGCTAATGGAGAGCAGCACTCAGGTCGAGCAGAGCTCGCAGACGGGGCCATTTGTCACAGAGCTGCCAGAGGGGAAGCCGCCCCTTTCCCATCAGGGAAGAGAAAGCTGCAGGCCCGAGAGAGTGAGGGAGAAATCCAGCGGGGGCAGCTTTGGGCTGGCAGGAAGGGGCTGGCAAAGCCAGACAGGGAGAAGGGCACAGGAGAAGGAGGGGGCAGGTGGAAGGAGCCGGCGAAGAGGAGGTCTCCAGGCGCCCCAGCTGGAGCCCACTCGAGCAGAGGCCAGCCCTGCAATCCGGGCACCCAGCTCCCTCCGGGCTCAGGGAGCTGATGGTCTGAGCAGCTGTGATCTGAGACCTGAGAGCTCCCACATGGGCAGGACAGAAAGGGGCTGGTCTTCTTGGGAGAGGAGCTGAGAGGAGGAGTCCACATGTCTGCAGTGGATAAAAGTGCCCTGTCATGTCTGCAGCCCCACCAAATGCAGCGCTCGCTAGGATGCAGGGGGACGCTGGGGGACGCCTTCTTCGTGGTGTCTCAGGTGCATCTGATGGGCTGATGTCACACCTGCACTCCAGACCTGCCCTGAGCACTTGCCACGTGCCAGGCACCGTTCTATGTCTGTGGCAGAAACGATGATCATGTGGGCTGGGTCATACATTCAGCGAGGTTCCTGGGGCAGAGGTTGTCATAGCCTCCACCCTGCTGTCCTCCTCTCGTCCCCAGCTGTCCCCTTCCCTAGGGACAGCAGCGACTCCAGCCGTGCCCATCTTCCCTCCCTGCTCTCACTTCCGTCGTTTCAGGAGCCTAGCAGCATCTCCCACCCTCTTTCAAAGGCCTTGGGAATCCCAGGCATTCCTCTCCCTGCCTCTTCTCCCTTCTCATCCAGCACAAATACTTTTCATCAGAGGCCTGGTCTCCAGGATGCAGTGGGAGGATAAAGGTGTAGGAAAAGAATGCGTTTTGCTGAGAACAGAGGCCTTCACGGGTACATAGGCACCGAGGTCCCGTCAACCTTCTGCAGCTTCTGTTGCTGTGCCACTAGTCGGTCCGATGCCATCTGGTACATGCAGCCACCGTCTCATGAGTTTGTCTCCTCTCCACAACCAGATCAGTAGGGTGTGTAAGGCTCACATTGAGCCTACCTAACATCACAGCCAAGGTCAAGCAAAGTTCTGGGAAACACTGGGGGTGGCAAGAACACCTTCATGGTCCTTTGTGCTTAGATATGGTTCATTCGTGATGATGACTTCACTCTGGAACTCTCTGGAGCCACAAAAGTGGGCCTGGGGGGACTGAGTGAAGCCCCAGTTCTCTCTGTGTCTTTACTTGGGTTTTCACCTGAAGGAAGGGCTTTGCAGAGTTCGACAGCAAGGAGGATGACCCAGACCCTGCAGGCTTCACCTCACAGCCTCGCACAGGGGGCTCTGAGCTTGGTGGTCTTTCCCGCCAGCCCAGGAAGCCCCGCTGACGCCATCCTCCGACGGTCTCTTCTGGCTGGGCCACAGTCACTGCTAAGTTTGCTTGTTCCGGGCTGGGCCGGGCAGGGAACTGACACCAACCAAGCACCACAGGCCTAAATCAATTCATTGATTCAATTGTGTGTAATTCCAAGTGAGAATAGGTTTGCTTTTTCCACTATTGGGACTCCGTCCTACTCCCAGGCTGCTGAGCTCCCGGACACAGCACCCTGCAGCCCCTGCTAGCCCCTTCCCACACTCTCCTGCCACAGGGGTCTGTGGGTGGCAGGATGCCCAGGGAGGACTCCTAGCTCCAGCCCTCTGCTCCACCTTCATGTTTGACTGCAGGAGAAACCAGGCAGATGGCTTTGACCTCCGTCCCCCCGGCCGCCCCGACCCCCTCCACCTGCACGGCTCCCCGCTGCCTGAGCCCGCACAACCAGCAGCCTTGCTGACACCCGGCTTCCTATAGAAGAACTGGTGGGGGAGGGAAGAGCAGTGAGCTGAGGACAGGAGAAGGAAAGGGGACAGGAGACCGAAAGGAAAGGACTGGGGGAGGAGGCAAAACCAGGTGACAGGACAGAGCCCAAAGCCTGGGCGTGGTGGGCAGGACCAACGCCACCTTCGATAGAGATTAGGAAAGCCACAGGTGGTCTCGCGTTGACTGATACTTTCAGCCTCCTCCTCGCTACTCAGCACCTGCGCTTAGCTTAACATTAATCTTCCTCGATGACCTCTGTCCACCTTGGGAAGTCTAGTGGCCACAGTCAGCCCAGCAGATACGATGGGCATGGCCACAGAAGATGAGCCGTCCCTGGCTGGGCCCAGCCACAGCCAGGTGCACAGATGGATGTGTGGGTGGGTGTGCAGGTGGGTGAACAGGTGGGAGTGTGTCTCAGGCTCTGCCTGCCTCGGTGCACTTCGGAGGAGCTGTCAGAAGCCACGAGAAAGGCGGCCTTACCTTCCGAGAGGAATGCTTTTCTGAACTCTCCAGGTCTCCATCCAGGAGCGGCATGGCAAAGGAACTCAGGTCCTAGGAAGGAAAGAGACTGCATGGTCAGGGACAGTGGCCCCAGGTCCAGGGGACGGCACACAGCTCTCGGTGGGCATCACCTCCCCCTTCCTGAGTCCTCCTCCTAAATATCACCATGAGGAGGGGCATGGATGGTGAGCGGTGGCTCAGCCGCAGCCCTGGTGGAGCTGCCAGCCTGCCACCGGCATTCTCAGCATCAGCCACGGGCGAACGCGCTCAGCGGGACCCCGCAGCCTCTGACCCGGTCCCCACAGATTCGCACATCCGAAGCCTTATTTCTGATGTGCTTTTCACCAGTCTCCTTCTTTTAGCAACAGTCCAGACAGACTGTGGTTTTCCAAACATGGTTGTGTATCCATGTACCTTTTGCTGGGAATGTCGTCTCAGATCCTCACTTAGAGGCCACTCTTGGGCAACCCCCTACCCTCTCCCGGAGAACTGACCCTGCTCGCTGCAGCTGCCAGGGACAGCCCCGACCTCACACCCCCCACCCCCAGCACAGAGCCCGGCCCACGGCAGTGCAGAAATTGCCCACACTGCCCGCGTCCCCAAATACTCCAAGCCCCTTCTTTCCTCTGGGCTTGGCTCTTGCTCTTCCAGCCCCCCACCCCCCCAATCCTGGCCCCCAGAGTGAACTCCTATGTGCCATGCAAAGCCCAATTCAAATATTATCCCTGGCCTGGGCCCACCCTCGGGTGGAATTCATTCTCCCAGCTGTGTCCCCAGCGCTTCAGCTATGCCTTTGTTACAGGACTTGTGGCTCCGTATCGGAATCATCTGTCCACTTATTTATCTAACCAGACTTTGAGTCCAGCCAGGGCAAGGGGAAAACTGTTCATGTTGCTATTCTCTGCCGGTCCTGGGCCCGGCATGCAGCAGGCTCCACATGTGTTTGAATTAACTCCCCGTCCAAGCATCCCGACCCCATCAGCGCACTCAGGGGCTGCAGGTCTGTGCTGATGCGCCGGCACAACAACCGGCCCCTGCGGCTGCAGCCCACTGGGAAGTCGGGAGGAATCAGGGTGGGTCTCTTATCACTGATTTTAATAGGTACATTCCTCTCGGTTTCCAATAATCATTACCCTCTAACATTCGTTCAGCAACAGCAGGTTCTACTTGTGAAAGCTTTTTCACAAATACTCATTTACCCTCACACAGCAACCCCAAGAAGCATCATGCCCTAGCAGCTGAGGCCGAGGAGGGTAGGTGACTCATGTCGGGACCGTCTGGAAGGAGCTGGGCCCCTGGCGCTGGTCTTGCTCCCATCTCAGCTGCCTGCAGGAAGGGAGCTGCGGCAGGTCCCACGCAGCTATTTCCAACCCGCGTGAGCTTATGAAAGTATCAGATCAGGCCGACCACTGCCACATGGCAGCCACTCCTGGGCTGTGGGACCCAGGTGCATGTGCCTGCTTGGTCAAGTAGCCTGACAGGGGAGTCCTTCGGCACAAATGGCGGGCTCTGCTGGAAGGCTCCCTGCCCCACATTCCACCATCCTAATCTCAGCTCCCATCTCCCAGAGCTCACCAAGAAACATTACTGCACCTTGGGGGCCCTGTGTGGGAAAATCTCTAACTGCAACTATGGCAACAAGACTATGAGCTTGTGGGGTAACGGGGACCTGGCCTCCTAGCTCAGCTGACATTCCAGAAGGCCCAGGCTCCTGGAGCTTGCTCTGCTCACGAGTTTCTGAATTTTCAACTCCTACCCAGAGCTTCGTCTTTCTTCACTGCTACTGCCTGCTCCTGTCTCCACAGCCCGAACTTCCCCATCCCGATGTCAGCTGGACGGGCCCTCATGGGTGCTGGGAGGCACCAAGAGGTGCTGAGGATGTGATCTCTGCCAAGAGGTGGCTCTGGCACTCTCATTCCCATCAGCTGCACATCACAGATTTTAAACCCTGACCACGTGTTCTGGAGGTGATTATCAGGGTCTCTGGAAAGTGAATTCTCAGGATTTGGACTGATAAAGACACCTGTCAGGAAAGCATCAGGACAAAAGAGAAAAGCCCCAGGTGTGAGGAAATTCCTGAGATGTAAGCCGACCTTAAAGCAGCTCACTCCACCCTCACCCTTCTTTAGAAATCCAAGCAAAGCCAAAAGTCTGCCACAAAAAAGGAAGGTATTAACAACAGGGCCGTCATTCATCTGACATTAGTAACTCTCCCAACTGTTGCCTCATTTGGTCCTTACAGCAACCCACACAAGTAGGAAAGGCAAGTGGGAGCATCCCAGTGTGCGGACGAAGACCCTGAGGGTCAGAGAGGCCAAGCCCAACACCAGTCGGACGGTAGCAGGTCCTGTAGCCCTGGTCCACCCACTCCGCGCTCAGAGCTCTCTAGTCAACTCTAGCAGCTCCTTGGGTGGCTCAGCCCCAGCAACAGAAAAACAACGAGGCATCAGGCTGTAAAGACGTAGAGCTCGTCCATACGAAACAAGGATCCTTGGCACAGTGTGACCTCGGAGGATGAAGGGATGGATGAGGATTTGTGCAGTTCAATGACTCGTCGTCAACGCAGCTGATGACACTAACTTTCTCTTTAAGCTCTTCTTCGTCACTAAACGTAACTCATGCTAACGTCGCAAAGGACAGAAGAGTATGAAAATCCCACCACCACCATCGCTTCACATTCTAGCACCGTCTACAATTTGTACAGTTCTGAGTCTTATGTACAGAACCCCCCACTTATCCCAATACCTCCCCGTAAGGTAATGAACTTTCTAATGTTTACAATCAGCTGATTTGTGGAGTCTTGAAGGACGGGGGCCGTCTTAGTCGTGTTTTAGCCCTGGTAGTTGAAGCTAAGTGTGTATTGATCAGAAACAGTTCCAGCCTCTCAGAGCTTCTGCTGTTCGTCTTACACAATGACTTTGTTGATGCAGCTGGGACGCCCCAGAAAGAGGCCTGATGAAAGTGCAGATACAGGACAAACAGAAAGGCTGCCAGTGTCAGGGGCCCAGGACCCCCACCTAGGGCAGGCTCGGGGTTTCAATGGCCAGGGTCACCGTGGAACATTCCTGTTGGACTCCGACCGAGCAAGGAGCATGTCTTGGAGGATTATCTTCTCCCCTCCCGCTGAGCAGCCCCGAATACACGGAGCGCCATCTGGAGCTACCCTGGGCTGTGGACCTGCTAAGCCGAGGGTCCCTTCCAGGCATATCCAAGCCCCCGCATCCCGCAGGCACGAGAACACAACCTGTTCCCAAACACAGAGCCAGACGGCTGAGCCCAAGCCTCCGCGCTGTTATTTACTCTCTGGGGGATCTTGGGCATGTCTGAACTGCAATTTTCATCTGTTAAATGAGAGGGTTTAAAGAGATAATTTCTGGAGCTGCTTTCAGCTCACACATTCTCTGTTTTTATCTGTTGAGCTGAATAGGTGGGATCAGAAACATTTTAAAGGAATGCTGCTGGATTCAGAATAAAATGCATCTTCTCATCTCCTATTTTAGCCATAAAAATAATTTTCTTTTACCTTCGAACCACCAAATGATCTCCATGGCTCTGGAAGCCATAGGGCCCTTGGGCAGTCTCCATGAACATGGGCTACCCCCATGGAGGTGTGAAGGGGTTCCCTCCACTTCCTTCCCAAGCTTCACAGATGATGGGCTTGCACCCTGCTGCTTTCTACCTTAACGTGTGTCTAGATCCACTTCTGAAGTTCTAACCCTCCCGGTTTCTTAATTTCCAAGGTCCCTCAATCCTCAGGACCTGAGTTGTTGGCACAAATGCCACGTGAGTTCTAGTGGATACTAAGCATGATTCAGAAAAGCCTTGAGTGCTGGCCTCCTCGGTGTCATGGCCCCGAGGCACTGGGGTTCCCATCTGGATCCCTTCCTGCCCACCGGCCCATCCCTCAGCCACGGATCGGCTCCACCCACGTCTGAATCTGAGTTGTCACTGTGGCTTGAGGTTTGTCTCTCGCGATGGGGCCTTGGCAAGCCCCTCAGGTGGGAGGCCCGAGGGAGGTGTCTCCAGCTGGCCCAGACTCACGCGGTCCCTAAAAACCACCAGATGGGCAATTCTGGGTACTGATGGGCAGCGGGAGGTGGCCAGAGCCACGGTCAATTGGAGCCTTTGGAAAACATTTATGTTATATAACCACTTTCAGAAAAATAAACAAATACTGAATCACTGGAACTAGGCAACAGGGGAGGGGCAGTGGCCAAATTAGGGAAAGCCTAAACTTAACTCTCAGAACGTTCCAGAACTATTTATTTTCCACAGAGGACATCATGGTTTCTGATTGCAGTCAGAAAAAAAAGAAAACCCACTACTTTTCACTCCCACAGACACCCCTCCTCCCCTCCCCCCAACCTGGTGGTCCTGTTCACGTGGCTGGCTCAGGTCTCCCCCTTCCTGCCATGCCCTCCACCACCAGTGACCCTGGTCTGGCAGCCTGACCCCTCCCGGCTTTAAGGAAGTGCCTATTCCATCAATATCCCAATTCCTCATCCAGTCCAGTGCCAGCCACCCACAGGCTTCTCTAGCTCGATGGCAGCTCCAGACATTAAACTCCTTTTTTTCTCAAATCCAAGTAGCTACAGAATCTCTAGGCCGGAGCAGTCGGGAGACCTCAGTCCCCACCCCCCAGCTCTCCATCACCATCTGTGTGCAGTGAATCACTTCGGTCTCTAAGAGCCCCTGTTTTCCAATCTGTCAAATGTGGCCACAGGGCTTTCTGCATCACAGGGTGCTGGTTCTGGAAGCCACACAGGAGGGCCCTTCCCAGGGTGTGAACCCTCACTCCTGGGACTGGCGAGGGCACTGGCCGAGGACACGCTCTGGCCTGACCACGGAGGCTGTGGGGAGGGCAAAGGGCATCTCCAGGGCAACCGGGCCGAGGGCCATCCACCAGGCCGTCTCCCACCCACAACCCAGGTCTAAGATCAGTTTGGAAAGACTTCTGCAAAGACACTGGCTGCCTCTCCTTATAACTACAGAGCGGCCTTTATCCCTTTCCTAAGCCGAAAGACAGGGCGATTAATCACTCGTGCAGGGCA